AGCGTCTGGAAGCTTGGGAGCTGGAATGAGGGCAGTGAATTTGTGTGTTAAAATAAAGCAACTCTGACAGGAAGGAGAAGGAAAATGAAGTGCAAATGGAGGACCCATATTTTATTCACGATGTGTGGTTGAGCAGGCAGGGAGCGGAGCCGGCCCTGGCAGCGTGGCCGCTCCCTGGCAAAGCGAGAGGCAGAAAGCCCAAGTAATGCGCTCTCTGTCACAAGCACTTTTCTGCTCGTTGCACCCCGCTAGCTGAAACCACTAATGGCCCATGATAGCAGCACGCAGCGGTTAAAAATTAACAACCAACCCAGAAAGAAGAGGAAAGAAAAGGAGGTTGGGGAAAAAAAAAGCAGAATTAAATACGGTAGATGAGCAGGTGCCATCGGCTCACCTCGGTACGGGTACCCATCCTGGGGAAGCTGTGGCCTTTGCCGTGTTGGCATGGTGGTTGGGCCCCATCTCTGTCCTCTCCCACCGCTCTTTCCTCCACACTTGCTTCTCCAGCCCTTCCTGCTGCTGTGTGCCTTTATCCGTTGCCCCTGGGGACAGGGTGCTTCATTTGGTGGCAGATAAGTCATGCACCAAGGCCCTGGATAGGGGGTGGCAGAGATGAGTGGTTTTCCAGCCCATGTTTTTGCAGAAAATCAGTGCAAAGCTCCTGCCTTGGCTTATGTGCCGTTAGGGTTTCTTCAAAATGTGTTGTGCCTTCTCTAACGCTGTCCTCACCTTGGGGGCCAAAACCGTGACTCCTCTTTGGGTTTCTTGGAGAGGATACCACCCCGGCTGCCTGATGTGATCGCTGCAGCCAGCGCTGTCTGCACCCCCTCTCACCCTGACGGGTTTGGGGGGGCTTGCAGATGTGGTCTGAACCCCACGCGCGATCTGCCGCAAGAGACACATTTTATTCGCTACAAAGCACAGGAAATGAGTTTTTTTTCCCGAGACTCTGATACCTGCTGGAGCCTTTTCAGAGGCTGATAAAAAGATAGGAAGGATGGTGGGGAGGAAGGGCTTGTGGCTCTGGGGTCTCCATCTGAAGCCATGACTTTGCAAAACCCCAGAAAGGCCTCTCCGCTGCACAGTTCCTTTGCTTTCTCTTAGCAGAGATCAAGAGGAGAAAAATCCTGTGTCTGGAGGAGCTAGTAAAATTTAGAGGGTGATAGTTAGCAAGAGATTTTTCTTCATTTGTGGCTGATAGGTGCCTGTCCTGTCCCGAGACCGGCTTGCTTTGCAGCGCCAGCCTCCAGCTCTCGTCTCAGGTGATCTCCACAGCTGAGGCGGCCGCATGGAGCAGCCAGGAGGTGTCTTCCCCCGGGCGGAAACAGGCAGCTCTGCTCACCGCAGCCAGCAGCCGGGGCTGTGAGGTGCCGGCGCGCGGGATGTCGTTAAAGGCCCCGAGGTTTGCTCCTCTCTGTCGGCTGTCGGCTCCAGTTTGGCCGCGAGCTGAAGGAAATGAGGAAATGGAAACAGATTTGCTAGATAAGCTCCGCAGCATCCGAAAGGCTTTTGGCCCCAGCCCACTGTCCCCACAAGCACAGCACTCCTGCAGAGGTCAGCAAGAACGGCGTTGGCCATTTATTTACAAGACCATGTGCACTTCTGGTTATCCAAACCTGCTTGCTGTAAAGCGTGGCTGTTACTGGGAGCTGAACGCAGGAAGCTTGGGTTACAGCCATCTATTAAACTCCGGATAAATGAGCTTTTCAACACAGGCAGTGATCAGAGGGAGGGCGATTCACTAGTCCTGCAACTGAGATTGGAGAAAAACTGCTTGGCTTAAAAACAGACTTTAGCATTTGGACGAAACTCCAGCTTTTCAGGCCCTGCTGTTTGTAGGAAGAGCGATGGTAAATATTATTGCAGATACATATTTTTCTTGTCAAATCGCTGTTAACAGCCAGCACCTGCACCGTTTTGGAGGCACAGGAAATGTCAGGATAATTGCTTTAGTAGTGGGTTAGAAAGGAACGGATATGTAAGTGCGGTCTTTGCTCTCCGAGGTCTGCGAATGCACAATATCCACGCGGTGCTCGCGGCTTGTCAGCTCTAACCCGAGCAAGCAATTGCCAGCGTACCTGTGCTGCATTACTCATGTCTCTCAACCTGGGAAGTAGAGCCAAGAAAATCAGACCTGGGCTCTGCAGGGGCAGCATTACAGCAGCACGGCGTCTGCAGCAGAGACGCTCGGCCGCAGGCAGATGCAGCTGTGCGGAGCGCGTTGGTCCTGTGCACCCACCGAAGCACGTGGCGCTTGTGACTGTACACAGGGGCTTTCTCTCAGGCGCTGCTGAGCCATCCTGGGACTGTGGGCACGCTCCGGTTTGAAGTGTGTTTTTTTTTTTCCTGTCAGGCACAAACCTGAGTGTCAGAGTCGTTTCTTGTCATTACATGTGACCCTGCTTGCTCACCAGCAGTAACTAAGTCAAATTTTGATGTAATTGATGCATTCTATCTCCCTCTGCCTAGAACACGGGCTGTTTTAATGCAGAAAGTCCTTTCTCAGTGCCTGTCTTCAAGCTCCTGAGCAGAGTTGCCGCGTGCTGTTAAAGCTCCTCCATCTCCCCCGAGACAGCTGACATCTCAGCTGAGCGGTGCAGCCTCGGCTAGCTGCACTCGCTCTTCTGTGCTGCAGCTGGCAGGCAGCGTGCTCCGCCGGGTCCCGTGGCAGCACCGCGTCTGACCAGGGCAAAAACCCCACCAGTATGGGCCATGTGGAGATGGCCGCCGGCCACCCTTGCGCACGCCTGTGATGTGAGGAACACATCGGGGCAGCAGAGCGCCCAGCTCAGGGCGCTGTGTTGATGCTAGCTGGACAGACCTGTGCAAAAGCAACATGAAAGTGCCAGTTTTATGATAGAAATGTGCCTTACTGGAGAACTTCAGACTGAGGGCTGTGACCAGCTTGTGGTGGCCTTCAGTGAAACACCCCAACTGTGGTCAGCAGTCAGGCACAGGCACAATAGAGCAGCTGGGCAGTAGTTTGGTGGGCATGAAGTAAGGTAGGGGTTTTCTCAGTCCTTGTGTTTAGGCTGCACAAGATAATTCCCATGGGCACCTTAACCAAACTCCTCTTTGCCATAACAAGAGCCTTGTGCACCTGCCTGCTGCAGAGGAGGAGGCAACCTGCCGGCATGGGCTGCAGTCTTCAGTTGGAGATGGCGAGTGTGGTCGGAGGAGTGCTGGCAGAGGGGGTGGCAGGGCAGGCACGTGCCGGACACGTCCCCACCCACAGCTTTGTGGCTCGGAGAAATGGCCCAGCAAGCAGGGAAGAAAGAAGCTGGCACATCACTTCTGAGGGCACTTTTCCAGCTGATACTTCCTGCCCACGGTGGGTGGTGGCCAAACCCCTTCGTCCCGCTGCAGGGGATGCCCTGGCAAGCTGGTGTCAGGCCACGCATGTTGGATGCCTGCTCGTTTCCAAGAGGCAGTAGAGCTTTCTGTATTGCTTCTGCACACAGAAAAGCACTTTCTCAAGCAGCCCTGACCCAGCTCACAAGCAAAGGCACGTGCAGTTGGCACAAAGTCAAGGGGAAGGTCGGCTCTGCATCAGTTTGGCTAAGATACCAGCTGAACGTGAAGCTGCTGCCTTTTCTCCATCTGGAAAGGACCCCAAGAAAAGCACCTGCAGTAAGTGAAGATGCCAAAGACTTGGCGTGAAACACGAACGCACCGGCTGGGGTCTCAGGACGTGGGAGGCACTTGCATGTGACAGAGATGCAGCTTCTGCTCAGCTAGCCTGCCTTGGGGAAGTCGCGGTCATTTATACCCCCTCTTGGTTACCTGGATCAACCTGGAAAGGAGCAGAAAGTGCCTGTGCCCCTCTTCTCAAAGCCGTTCAGGGCGTGCTGAACATGCGCTGGTGCCTGGCGTGGTTTCCCTCGGGATGTGCGTCTGGCATCTCCCCTCTCCGAAGCTCTCCTGAGGAAAGCTGGCGATGAGGCCTGAGCGCCAGGCTGGCGGCACCGTCCGAGCTTAGCTCCAGGCACCGGGATCCCTGAGGGAGCAACGCTGGCAAACCTGACCAGCACGACCCCTGCTACCTGGGCGATGAAATACTCTGATCCCCACCTTGGGGCACAGCTTGGAGGTGGCAGGAGGCCAGAAATGGTGCTGGGTGCCAAAAGGCATTTGAAGACATATTATCCGCTATTATTATACCCACACTGTAGCATGTGCTGCTTCTCCTGGACGGGCTGAGAGAGGACAGGCCCCACTACCTCTCCTGCTGGTGCCCAGGCCCCGCTGCTCTCCAGTGGAAGGATATTATCCTTCTGGCCCATCAGCGTTTCTCCTCCTGCAGCTTGTGCTTGGTGGCTCCTGTCCTTTTGCTGGGCACCGTCTTTCCCTTAACTCCTGTTAGGTGGTGGTGGACAGCAGGTAGGTTAGGCGGGGAGGCAGCCTCGTGCACCACGTGCCCCAGCCCCAAGCACCTTCGTGGCCTTTCTTTGACCTCACCCTGCTTTGCTGATGCTTCATCACAGTCCTGAGCTGCTGAAATTCACCGGTTTGGGCTCAGCAGGGAATGACTCTAAATCAGCACCGTCTCCAAGCTGGCCCTGAGGAGCAACAGGCCAACTGTGGAAAAGGTCGCACGGGGTGCCGCAGAGGCAGGCACAGCACGGGGACCAAGCCGCCTCGCTTGCCTCTGTTATCACCTCTTCTCCTCCCTGCCAAGCACCATTTCTTCAGCGGTGGGGCTCTTGGGCACCTTTTATCTGCTGTCCGCACCCTGGCTGCATGCAGCCTGCTCCCCGCAGCCTTCAGGACTGCTGCCTGCCCCCGCGGCGGCAGCACAGCTCTCCTCCCGAGGAGCAGCTCTGGCTCTGCTCAGGGACTAGTGACTTCCCAGGGGCAGAGGCCCCCGGCCGGAAGTAAGGGCAAGGTGCTTTCTTTTCTCATTGCCTCGCAATCCCCAGTGCACACAAAGCCTCCTAGCAGGACTGTTTTCAGTGTGGTGGGGAAGGCTGCCGCATCGCCTTCCCTGTAACCCCTGAGTGCTGCTGTGAAACACACCGCTTGCCTGCTTCAGGGACACGGATGCAGCTCTGCCCTGGCCCATGCCTGGAGCCTGTCCCCGTCCCCGTCCCTGCCTGCTGGTGTTGAGGAGTGCCTTCTGCAAGAGCTCACTGTACAAGCTTTTGAACAAGCTTCTGGCCAAACCTCGGGAACCATCGCCCCAAAACTGGCCGGCGCCCAGCCTGAAATCAGCCACGTGCAGAGCACAGAAGAAGAAATGCAATTGCAGGTTCCTCGACAGGCTGCTGCAGAAACCGCTGGGACGGGGAGGTGCAGAGTGGCTTGTCTGACTTACTGTTACCCAAGGGACTTGCAGAGTGCTGGATCTCTCGCCTTTGGGCAGGTGGCTCATACAGGAGCCCTTTGGCAGCTGATGGCAAGACTTGGCTTGTGGAGGAAGTTTGGACAGGCAGTGGGGCGAACATTTCCCCCATGATGTGAGTGCTTTAAAGGTGTCAATAGAAGGGGGCCCAATGCCTGTGGCTCCTGCTCAGGGAGACTGTGATGGTGCCTCTGTGTCACCTTCCCTGCTGGGTCCCCTCTGTGACTCCCGTTTGCTCTCCCGGGCTGCCCCCGCCTGCTCCGCTGTCGCTGCAGCCACGGGCAGCCACACAAGGTGCGGAGATGGCCCTGGGACCCCAAGCCACAGTGCAGTGGGGATGCAGCTGGGCACCACGGACGGCGGCCTGTGCAAACTGGAGCTGGGAGCAACATGCCGCCACTGTCCCCAGTTTGTGTTTTGACTCTCTCTGTCCTTTGCCTGGAGGCAGGAGGATGCAAAAGAGGGAGGGTGGAGGGGGACAGGTCAGGAAATCAGAGCCCAGAAGTGCCCAGCTCTTTCGGAGCCTGGGTTTCGAGCAGCGTTGGGGACCTGCTCGGTGCTGCCTGTCTTACCTCTGCCTCTCTTGTCTTTCCAGATGCGCTGGCTCCCTCCCTCCGAGGCTGGTTCTCAGGGCTGGAAGTCCCGTCAGTTCTGCTGAATGCCATGTAAGTGCGGCGCCGGCGCTCAGCACCACAGCCGGCCTTTCCCGTGCGCGGGTCGCCGTGGTCCCTGGCTCCGAATGAGCCCAGAGTGGGTGGGAGGGCACTGAGGAGGCCTCGTGTTGTGCCCCACGCTGAGCCTTGAGGCAGTCGCCGCTTTGGCTTCTCCAAGGGAAGTCCCCTGCTCCCTTGGCCGTGCGCCTGCCTGCTTTCGTCCCCCCGCAGCCTCCTCCAAGGGCGCAGGCCTACATGCCGGCAGGGACCAGCCCGCCAGGCACTCCTTCCAGTGCTGCTACGGCTGCACGGAGCTGCCTGGTCACGGGGCTGGTGCCATCTCCAATGCTTTCTGTGAGCTCACGGCTGTCATCTCGCCTTCCCCAGCCGTGCTGCCATGCAGAAGGACAGCACCACGGGGCCTCGGGGACGGTGCCCGGGACTGCTCCAGGCATACCCAGCGCCGGCGTTAGGGAGGCCATTTCTCAGCGGGTGCCTCAAGGCCAGGGGTCGCAGCACAAGAGGAGGCTGATGGCAGCTGGGAAAGGTGCAGAGAGGAGCTGGTACAGGCTTATTCAAAAGGAGGAGGAACACATTTAAAAAAAGACCATAGCGGGACAAGCCAAAGGTCTGTCTGGCGCACAGTACTGTCTCCAGCGGTGGCCACAAGCAGATGCACGGAGAAGAGTTAGAACAGGCCAAGCAGAGATGATATTTCCCAGTCTCCAGGAACTGCCAGTACAAACTGCCTGTTTCTTGAACCAGATATGGTTTCTGGCAATGGGTTTCTTTTCCAAATATCCTTGACCCCATGTAATAGACTTGAGCAGGCTCTGCAGGAAGAGATGCTTGATAGCACACGCCGAGCGAGCAGGCGAGCCTGGCCCGGAGCGGAGCCGATGCGCGATAGTGGCAAGGACCTGGCTCAGTCCTGGCAAACACAATTCTTCCTGGGAACAACTCACCGGGACGCAGCGCCCTCCTCACCCCCTCCAGGCTTGAGGTCCAGAAAGGGAAGTCTTGCTGGGAGATGGGTGTCTGCAGGGCTTCCATGCCATCCTCAATGCTTTCCCAAGTGTCTCAGCATCCCCCTCGCGGTGCGTTATAAAGGTGGGTCCGTGGCTCCCCGGCCTGTGCTGCTGCAGCAGACGAGCCGCATGGTCTTGGCCAGCTTTGGCCATGGCGGATGAGTGCCCAGGAGGTGCAGAGACGGCGTGGGTCCTGCAAACCAAGCTGGTACCAGGGGCTTTGCTCTTCCCTGCCTGGCTCAAGGCAGCCTCCATCTCTGAGCACGATGCAAACATCTCATTAAAACTTCATGAAAAATCTCTTGGCAGCCTGGGGTGGCTGGGTGGCCAAAATGAAAAGCACGGCGTTACTAAGTCCCCGGCTGCCTGCTGCATGGGGGGGGGGGAGGCAGGGGGCTGATGCGATTACACTTGGGACCTCTTTGGATGGAAAAAGTCTTGAAAGGGAGGTTGGAAAGATAAGTTCTGCAAATAACTCAGCCTTTAGTGGATAAATAAACACTGGGGATTAAAATGGAAGAGGGAACAGGCTTGGTTGACGCAGAGTACCAGGCGCACCGCGATCCCAGACTGCCCCAACCATCACAGGCGACGGCGCCCGCAGCCGGGAGAGGGGCTGCCACGCTGTTAGCGCCTAGCCTGCCGCGCTCTGCAAGAAAGCTGGAGAACCTGAAGGGAAAACAGCGGAAACACCCAAGGGGAGGCTCCTGTGCCACACCTGCACCCACCCGCGGAGAAATCCCAGCGGCTGCCAC